AATAGAATATTTTTAATATGAACTAATATTTAATATTCACACAAAAACACCAGTTTTACTCTAGTGGACGAAGTATTCTTTGTTCAAGGGCAAAAGCAAAATCTTAAGGTTTGTCCTCAGAAAAGAAGAAAACTTTGCAGTGGGGCTCTGTGTTCTAATTTGGTATAAAATCAAGTAGCTGGAACTTTGCAACCCGGCTCATAGTGCAGGGAGGAAAGAAAAAGAAAGGCAAACGCAATTCTTCTGAAATCTTAGGAACGCAGAACTGCAAGAGAGCGGAGACCGTCCGCATGGCCAACATCCGAAGCAGCTCCCCACACGTTAGATGACACAGCTTGTCCTCGTGTCCCTGCTCCGAGAGAGGCCCAGCACCTTCCTCTGCTTCAGCTCTGTCTGCTGAAGGAACTCGGATATCTTCCTCTCTCACTGCTATTAACTAAGAGATTCTATCCGGGCTCAAACAGCAGATTGATGTAATTATTTCTTAGAGTGATGTTTTCTAACCAGAGATTATTATATGTGAATCTTACCAATTATTTACATTTTATTGTTTGCAGGAAGTAAAATGAGGACAGCACTTATGCTAAAATGATTCAGAAACAACAACATATTTTGACCTTTCTTCTAAGAGGTATATTTTTCCCTTTGGGTTTTATTATTTTTAATAAATGATAAATCTTTTTTTTTTGTACTGGGGATCGAACTCAGGTGTTTGAGTTTGCGAGGCAGGCACAGTACCACTGAGCTAAATCCCCGGCAGGGTTTTATTATTTTAAAGTGATTATACAATAGCACCAATGGAAACTTCATGGAATGATAATTCTTAGGATAGTGTCTTATAAATACCTACTTTCTAGAAGCGACTATTAGTAATGTGCCTGCTCCCTTTGTATTTGATTCTCAGAGAGTGCATAGTCTTTTTAGCGGTACCATCTAACAAGTCTCTTCTATTGATCTAGAAACAGCAACTTTGGGTCTTTCAGCTAAATTACCTTAGAATTTTCTCTTACTTTTTAACTGTTGTGGTTGTCATCCTACTTGCTCAAATGGGAGTCTGACATGTCTGCCCTTCTTAGGGTCATGTTTGCTATGCATTTTATCTAAAATGGCATTGCGGGAGCGAACTGCTCCTTTTCTTGTATTTCTAGGCGGTGCAGGACAAGATGTTGGCCCATGGCATCCATAGGGCCCTCCTAAAACAACTAATAGAAGGAGGCATGGTCAGTCTCCTGGTTAGAGACATCTGAAACTAAAAGTGCCTGCCCAAAGCTGAATTTACTGTTTGGGAGACTAACATGTTTATGTAAGTAAATTTCAGTGTAAAAGGAAAACACCTTGGTGGCTGTTGCTGTGTTTAGCATAAAATCCAGACCCCTCTGTGTGGACCACAGGGTCCTGCAGGCACTGGTCCTGCTGTCCCCACGAGCCAGCCTCACACCCACTTCTCTCCCATCCCCGGGCTCTGGAAAGCCCACAACACAGCCAAGCCCCAGTGCCCTTTTATTGACCCTGTTCCCAGCTCTGCCTGGAATGCAGTTCCCATCTGCCCATCTCTCCCTCATCCAATAGGTCTTAAGTGTACATCTTTGGAAATGTATTACTGATTTCCCAGTAGAAATTAATTACTCGCGCTGTCTCTCCATCACACACTGTGCTTTCTAGCTTAATGTGAGAGCACTGATCCTGGCGTGCCATGGTAGGGCCTTTTCCAAGGTTACTTGTTGCATGCACATCGTGCGAGCTGGATCTACCTTCGCTCTTTTGCTGAGTCCTTCGTTTTCAGAGCAGCTGTGCTGAGGGCACTGGCTGGACATTTTCCTCCTACGGTGTAGTGTTTTCTGGAGCACAGCAGACACAACCTCCCAGTGCTGACATGACATTTATTTCTCACTGGGGTCTGTGGAAGAGCTGTCACCTACCCCAGCTGGGCTAGACTTAGCTTGGGTTGTGGCCAGCTTTGTTCTCTCAGCTATTTGTATCAAGCGAGAGGCTGAAGGGGAAGTGGCACCCTGGGTGTGTCCCTCCCCAGGCTGGGGACACAGGATAAGCGGGTCACAGGCTGCTGTCAAAGCCTGTATTTGGAACCGGCCCAGTCTCCCACCTGTATTCCAAGGTCAGTAGCAGCAGGAGGGCCCCAGGTCAGTGTGGACAGGTCAAACCCACTCACCTGTGACAGCCCGGTGACCTGACATTTCAAACGTCCCTTGGGGGGCTGCTTTGTAACCCCCCCAGGCCCGGCACCCCACAGGCTCCAGCATCCGGACTTCACAGTCCTGAGAGACAGGTGCTGCTCAGGAAGCTCTGGTCGTCTCAGGTGAAGGACAACATGCCACAGGTGACCCCTAAGGTCACGGCTGTCACACTGTGAGTCACACCTGACATGGCAGTGCCACTGGGAGAGGAACGGTTCCATCACAGTGTCTATTTAGGAAGGACTTGATCTTGATAAACTCTCAGCGGCCACTACTCCAGGGCCTGACGATCTCTGCAAACTGCTTCAACTTCATCAGGTTAGTCACACCACAGGCAGACTCTGTCTGACCATACGCAAGAAGCAGGAGCACGGGACAGCAGTGAACATGACAGAGAGATGGCCACGGCCACGCACTGCTGGCCTCGGCGGCAGCTTGCCTAATCAATAACCTATCCTGCGCTAGAGCTGTCATTATTATTCTCCTATAAACACAAAACCTGCAGGGTTAAGTGTAACGTTATGAGCTAGGCATAGAGAAATACAGAAGCAAGGTCTCGGGTTCGATGAGCGTGAACCCTGGCCACAAACCCCTTGGTTCCGGTCCTGCCCCTGCCCCTGCCCCCAGTTGATGGCCATTTCTTTCACTTAATCCTCACAAGTGGCCAACCCGGGAGGTGCTCCTGATATCCCTGACGTCCATTTCAGAGAAGTGAGGTTTGGAAAACGGAAGCACCTTGCCCTTATTTGAAGTGGATCCGCCTGGCTCCGGCACTGAGCTGTGCTCTACCCTGGATTAGGAGACCTGCTATTCCCCACACTTCAGGGAACGCCTCTCCACAAAGACATGTACCATATAAACACCTTAGCCAACACCAGGCCCACGTCGGTTACCATTACAAAATCAACGGAGATCATGCGGAATTTCCCTTAGAAAACGCAGGGAACCGTAACATCGTTTCTTAAGATGTTTGCTTATGTACCTGTTGCAAGCATTACCTTACAGAACGTCCTCGCAAGCCTAGGAGAGGGGAGGTCCTGCTGTAACAGCAGACACTCGATGGGGGTTATTTTGTTCAGACGAGCGGTTAAGCGACCGGGGCGACTCCGAGGCGATGCGGGCCGCGGCGGGGCTTCCCGTTTTCAGGGTAGCAGAAATCCGGGAGCAGCGGGGCTTCCCGGAGGCGAGGGCCGGGCGCCTCCCGGTCTCCAGGCAGAGGCTTGGAGACTTCTGCAGAACCGGAGGGACCGACGGCGCCGGGCAGCTGCGTTCGCTC